GGGCATTTTAGATTTTGGTGTTCTTTTGACTCAGTTTTTGATTCAGGCAACAGAGACTGCAGTGCTGCAGAAAAACCACTAGATGGCGCCTCCACCTCCTTTACAATTCTTACAGACTTACCCAACCTGACCACCATGTAATCCAAGCGGTCAAATACGAAAAAACTGTCGGGAAAAGTCATATAAACTGCAAGCTGACTGACTAAACAAATAAACCCTTCACTGTCAGAATTAAAATTGCTTCCCTGTCTTTTTAAAAATGCCATTTTCAAATCAAGCCTCTGCAAGCCTGTTCTGTGACTCAATGTGAAGCAATTTCTAATTTTCCCATATTGAAATTGACTCAGGGACACACAAGTCCAATTCTGTTTTAAGGTAATAAGTTGAAAGAACAGGGTATTATTCAGATTTTTTTAGATAAAATTAGGATATTTTAGGGACTTCACAAGCTAAAGATCAGAATAGATTTTCTACAGTATAAAAGAAATTTTTGAGAAGCAGTAAAACCTGTAGCATAGTTCATACTGTTTAAAAATCACTGGGACAATTAAGATGTGCATATTACAGTAAACCGCCGATGATCTGACATGACATTTCTGCATTTGTTTTTTTAACAGTACTGAAAAAAACAAACATCATAAAAATGAATTCAAATATACAGTAGCACTTAAAACATTATGAGGCATCAAAGTTCATGAGGAAAAATGTGCAAGCGTGAACTAACCAGCAGGTTTTCGCCAGGCCTTCATCAAGGAGAGGCCGATCTGCTAAAACAATGGCCTCTTTCGCCATCTAGTGGACATGAGTGCATCTGCACCGAGCAGAGCTGGTTTAAAATGCAATACTTCTACTGAACTACTGAAATGTATGTACCTGTTACTGGTAAATATTTAGAAAAATACATAAAATATATACATGTGAGAAAAATGCATACTGATTCCTTCTCCCTAACAAAGGCTGAAAAACAAAAATCTTACTTTAAGGAAAATATTTCTGAGAAGTAATCTAATGGGATTTTAAAAAGTAAGCTTTATATTTTATAAATCCCTGGCATTTATGTTATCAAAATATCAGTATCTAAATAAAACCCATAAAACTCATAAAAACAAATTCTTGGCAAACCTTTCTGTTGCCAGTTTGGGATTTTCTGTATCAGTCCACTTTGGAAGTCCTTGTGTACTGATGCTCATAACACATGGAATTAAATCAGCCAACTCACAGAGGACAGTCAAGTGCTAATAAGCTTGATCCTACAAGTAGTGTCTAGCACAGGAGTCTCTAATTCTGGTCCAGGAGTTTTTCTGTCAATTCCCATCCCTCTGTTCATAAGGAATGGCAATTTCTTTAGATACTGTTTAGTACAGGGCCAGGGATGAGCAATCATCTTCATGGAGAGCCATTACGGCCAGGGTGTCTGTACATTTTCATTCCAACTCGCCTCCTAACGAACCGAAACCTCTTTTCGCGGCTTCGCCCGTTCAGGCGTTGTTGCTTTAAAGACACCTTGAAAACCTGTAGACGCATCTGAACCCTCCCATTTAGAAAGGATTTTGAACCAGAGAGCGTCGTAATAAAGCACAAAATCGCGAAGGACCGACGGGCGCCTGGGTTCGTGACGCGTCAGGCGGAGGAGTAGCGCGGTGAGGCGAGATACCTGCGGCGCCGGACCCGGGCTGCGGCTCCGAGGCAGCGGGGACACTCCAGAGAGACAGGCGGCCCGCCGAGTTCCCCTGCACCAGCAGCTTGTGAAAGGGCTCCCTTCGGCCGGAGAAGAAGCGGGTGACCGGGGGGCAGATGAGAAGCTGAAAACGCGAATAAAAAACTATCTCAACAGACGAATAAGATGAATACACCTACCGCTTGTTAACAGGATCGATAATGATGGAAAAACGAGCAAGGCAAGGATGCTCGTTTTAAAGAACGACAAGAAAAAACTTGGTCTGGCTGCTTTTTCTCCTTCTACTTGACCCCATAAGAACTAGAATTTGGAAGTAAGAAGTGGATTGCACTCGTATCCCGTCTTGTTACTAGAAAAAATATATTTTGTGGGCAAGAGATTTTACCTTCTTTGTCCGCTTTGACCAAGTTTTTGTCAAACATCAATACCTTGGATATCCTACGATGGAAGATTCTAAATTTCTCTAAATAGGGCACAAACCCTGATAATCCTACCAGCCATGAACACACTGCTACTTGTCTTGAGCATAGCTTTGCTCACCGTCTGAAGAGCGTTGCTTCACTGTCCATGAAAAGACTTTTTAAGCTAAAAAGTCCTCTGAACCTTGTCTGAAGTGTCAGTGTTAAGCCCTGATAGGAGAAGCTCGTGTAATAGTATCTGGATGAGAACGAAACAGCCTGAGGAGTGATAGTCTGTGGGACCGCTCTAAGATCAAGGTGACTGGAGGGCTCATATTCTGTTCACTTCACATTTCCAGTTCAGGACTAGAAATGAGGAGTGTTAAGAACATTTTAGCATAGTCCTTGAACTTCAGTGACAAGATCACTAAAAAATGCTGACAGTGAGAGTTAGGGAAAGTCTGCACTGATGTTTTTTTACGAATGCAATGATATTACTTTATTAAAAGGTTTATCTTCTTGTGGCTAAGAAGTGAAGCATTGCAGGTAGCTACAAGATACATCTTCATAACCTAGGAGTTTATTATATTAAAGCAGGACCACAAATCAGTTTGTTCCAAAGGTCACATTTCAACTATTCTACAAAGCAGAACCACTGGCACACCACACAGTAATCCAAACCCATGCAGAAAGGGGTTAATATCCAGAAACATCAACCGAGACTAAAAACAGAGGAGAACTGGAATACAAATACTTTTCTCCATTAAAAAGTTTAGGACAGAAAGAGCATGCCACCAAGCATAATGTTGCTCGTTCTTTACAGGACTTTTGTGTTGGAATACTATTTTAGGATGAACCAGAGCCTGTCACAACAGTGCAAATAAGATTTGTGTTTACATTCTGAAGCGACCAAAACACTCAAACTCGTCCAGACCAAGTCTGCAACCACACTTCCTCACAAGGTTCACTGGAGGCTTGTATTTCTATAACTCTAATCAGAAAAATGCATCAAATATATTTCATTCATCACAAGTTTTAAAATAAGACAAAAAAAAGAGGACCTTGTGACATGCAGTAACATTAGCATTCAAAATGGGTGTCTAAACCAAGTCTCCATTATCAAAATAGTAAATCATCATAAAATGTACTGCTGTACATGATTCTGTAGTAATACTATTGAAAACTTTAAACTATAGAACGATCAACAGAAAAGCTCGTCCACAATTTTTTTTTTGCAAGCAGAAAAGCCAAAGGAACCGTCACAGCAGAGTACATTCTCAACACAACTGCTCCACAGTGTTACTAACCAATTCAAAAACTGATGGAAATAGATCCTTCCATGAAAACCTCATTGTTTTTCCAACAGCGTAAAAAACATTTTGATAACATTGAGTGCTAGTTGCTACGATATCTGTCCAAGATGCAAGCAGTCCAGACTCCCATCATTTTTCTCTACCATGGGATCAAATCTGCGCTTTGCACTTCCATTTCTGTTTATTTACGGATGCTGAAAATAAGACAATAGTAGGAAAGCTGAACTCCTGTCTTTTGCCCCACTCAGAAAACTGCTTCCTTTCATACAATGATAAAAGTAACTAGGGTACCTAAGCATTAATGTGGTTATCACCTTAAAGGGTCACAAAGGGTGTAATTTTTAAATACAGAGAGAGATACCATGAATAACGCTGCCAGAAATAAAAACAAGGTAAAATGCTGTTTTAGCCAGAATACAATGGTTAACATGCCAACACCTATGAACAGTGCTACAGGATCTTTAATGATCAAGCAGTCAGGATCTTTATGTCTCATCCAAGTCAAAGTAACTCATACTGGTTTAGTCTAGAAGGAAGACTGCCACCAATATCCAAAATGCAACAGCAACCTGGTTTTGCCTAGAGGTCTCAAATCCCCATACTGACCAGCCCCACTCATGGTTAATGTCTGAGGCCTGGCCACAAGATGGCAAGACTGCTGCTAAAGCTGCAATCAAGTGGCAAGCAGAAAACAAATCCTGTACTGCAATGTGTGGTTTACATTAAATAGCAAGTTACACTGACCTATTTTCCAAAGGGCACCCAGAGAATTTAGTTGATACATTCGCCTGTACTTCCTGTATACTACAGACTGGGAACAACTCCAATGAAATAGAAGAGTTATCCGAGACCAGAAAACCCCAAAACAGAGAGTGAATTCCTCAGCTTTATGCACTTGAGTACCAAGACTTTAAGAAAGCTGACTAGAGAACACTCAGCTTTCCTGAAAGAAAGCATTTCAAATAATAAACAAAATAAACAATAAAAGCTTCTGCTGCCAACAGAACACTTCACGTTGAAGGTGCAAGACGAAAACACCTGGTTAGGAATTTTCAAGTAGAAACCTACATGCAGAAACAGACGTGGTGTTATTCTAAACAGGGAGCAAGGGGTTTAATTAAAGAGCCTCACACAAAGATACAGGCCAGACTGGTTCCTCACTTCCACCACACACATCCACCAGTGCTGCCCAGTGAGTGCCAACTTTCAATCTCACCGGCCGACCTTTTGGGTGATGCCCAACTTGTAAAACTGAAGTCTGCTGGCAAACAGTTTTATGAGAAATGAAGATAAACAGTGCTGAAAATTGTTTTCATTCCAATGTGAACTGCTTCTCAATTTTAATACTTGCATATGCATGCTGAAAACTTCAGCTGCTTTGTGCGATTTGGAACAATTATAGAACAATCTGGCTGTTTTCACATAAATAGTACTATACCTAAATACCACAAACTTGCGAAGTCCTCCATTTATTGATTTTGTGATTTTTTTACAATAATCTACAACTCCTATAAATGAAAGGCGTGTATATATACACACAGAGTCTAATTTTGAAACAGCAGGGCTGAGAGTGGTTCTTTAAGTTATCATAAGAAACCACAGACCAGCTGCAGGTCAATGAGGGATGAGAAGAAAAGTTAAGATACAGTCATTCGACTGTAGTTGAATTATTTTCGCAACTGTTTTTTTTTTTAAAGATCTTTTTAATACCTGGCAATTATTTGGATAGAAAAAATTAAGTTCTAAGGAGTCCAGTATTTTAGGAATAACTCTACCATGAATGTGGTGTTATTGTGGAATAAGAAAGATTCTTATATTATTCTCTGAAGTTACAAACACCAAGGTATTACCGCTGATGTGCTCGATGCCAGAATTTCATGAAACCAAACCTCCACAACTATTCCTGTGAGCACTGCAGCGGGATGAGTAAGGAACCAGCCCAGGCAGAGGGAAGAGATGGACCAGCGGGGAGATAGCACTTTTACGGGAATAACCAAGAAAAGGTCTGACAGGGCATCTGAAGAAAGGCAGGTCTTCGTACAGGGAAACCCAGCTCCAGAATCAGGGTGGTCTCCCCTCCAGCCAAACGGACTTGAAAAATGAATGGCGATACCCATAAACCGAGAGTGGACACCCAAGAGTCTCCAGATGCCCCAAGCACCACTTTCACTGGATTTCCCTGCACACTGCCAGTGGGCACTCTTACTGGTGGCTCTACAGGCCTGGCGTGGAAGAGCAGCTGAGGACAGCAGTGCTCCCAGGCTGCCTCAGGGGCAGAGACGTGGTCCAGTGACACC